ATCGTATTTAAATGAAGTCAGCTAATTTTTTTTTTCTTGATTATAGAAGAAAATTGCACGTTTTTATTAATATATATCATCAACTTATTAACGTATGAAATTTACCATAATCTACTTCAATCTGAAAGTCGGCCTTTTTTTTTTCTTGCTAATACTTCCATTAGTAGTTAATCACAAGAAATGCAGAGATCTGATAATATTTATTTTGACATATCCGACTTTGTAGAGCTTTTCCGTTGATCATTTCGATAAAAAGGTTTATACTATTTTTATCAACAAAAAAACAAAAAGGACTATGATTAAAATATTGGCAAAAGACTAGATTGTTCTAAAACTTCACAACAATCGATATTTTTCAGAATTTTAAGTTCATCAACGTCATTTTGTTGATGAAAATCGGAAATTCTTTTTATTGACATGATCAATTGAAAAGACTCTAAAGAAATAGAATACATAAAAAAAAAAAAATTGTCGGATGCCTTTATGTCTTTGCAATTAATTATCCTTATTCAAGTACTCTACCAAAAATTAACTGTGATTGTATAGGTTTCTTGAGAATTTTCTGTATAAGAATATTCGAGAAGATCTGATGAAATTAAATAGACTAGCGAAAATTCAAAGATTGTAAATAAATTATTTTATAAATCGAGAAAATTTAAGAACATGACAATTTGATTAATGTTACAGATAACTAAAATCTATCATTTATCTTTGCCAAAAAATGTAGATATTTCTTTTTTAAATATATAATAACAATTTTAAATGATATTGCTTAAACGTTCTTTTTAATGAAACGAAAAAAGTTTTGAATTCTCTTCAATCATCGAAAGAACAAATCTATTCATTCAATCAAAAAACGATGGAGACATCCTATTCCTTTTTTTTTTATAGGTTATTTTTGTGACATCCAGTTACTACATTTGTGTCAGATGTCTATATATCATCATTCAAGGATTCTCCAACAACGATTAGAGCTCAAGATGGGTCTTCTACGCATGTAAATTCTTTTCCAATATATTGTCAACTACATATCTCGAGATATTTCTATTTGTAAGAGAATTCTATACGTATTTGGATAGGGACAAAAGACTCGTTTGATTTATATTTTTTATTTTTGTTATCTTAAAATGTTAAAATCTCAAAAATTTACAAATAACACTTAAAATTCATTGTATCTCGATTATATGAATTTAATTGAGAAATGATTTCTCTTTATGCAAAGAGGCAAGTACGATACTATCGAATGAAAGAATTCAGAATTCTCTAGAGCAAAGCATACGGAAAAAAAGAATTTTCTCAAATATTGATTATTGACAAAAAATAAACAAATTTTTTTTTCTACGCTTAATCTACCTATGATTAGACATCAACATGAAATATGATCTTATCATATATCAATCACTAAAATTAATTTAATATATATAGGACTATGCTGTCAACAACACTTATATTTCATAGCAAATAGAGTTATCTCGAGTTTTTTCTTCAAATTTTTTTATCTAGATTTACTTAACAAATATTTTGTATGCTTTTTGTTTTTTGAAATTTTTCTAGATTGAAAATTGTTTTGTATGATAATTTTTAGAAGAAATTTTTGTATGTTTTTTTGTTAAAAAATTAATTGTTGTTTTGTTTTTGACAAAGATAGATATTGTTGGAAGGAACAGTATGATCTTAAACATAATCTTTTTTTGTCTAGATTTTTATTTGTTATAAAAGAAAAATTTATTAATTTTATCGATCGATGACAATAGAATCGTTTAAGTTAATGCAATTTTTGTTGTTATCATATCGATTGATATAATAAAAAGATCATTATAGAATTATATCAAGAATAAATTTAATTGAGAAATATTTTGCATTAATCTATACGATAGAAATTTTAGAAGACTTTTTATAGAGAATTTTTTTCAGAAAAAAAGCTTAACTCTTATGTATGTGAATGTCCTTGATTCATTGAGATTATTCTGCTTATTAATTCCTTTGTAAGGATATATAGTCTGTACTGATCACGATTTAATTATACCATATTAGTTATTAGGTTTGCATATATAATTGTTTCTTTATTGAGAAAATTTTTGAAGAGATTCGTTCACAAAACTCATGGGAAAAAAACCTCTAGAAATGGATTCATTTATCGAAAATTAATGTTGTTGAAAAATGAATAAAAAAAAACAACAATATTCAGCAAGAAAATCACAAATTTTGTTTTTTTTTTACTGCTGTCTAAATACATGATATATATGCTTGTATTTTTCTCAACAAATTCTCATTTTTTACAACTGAAATTCTCATAATAAGTTAAATTATGAAATATGTATATTTGATATGAAATATAAGATCAATTGACAATAGTAAAGAGAAATCATCGAAAAACTAATAAATCCCGTTTATTTTGATTAGAAGAATATATCACCATTGGGTTATTTATTGAGACTGTTCTGTTCTGTATCAATCTTTTTTTTTTTTACATCGAAAATCAATTGCTTATTTGCATTAAATATTTTATGATACTGCACTTTTCTGG